TCTTGCCCGCCCCCGGGCCAAACACTCTAGTTACGCTTCGGGGGGGGGGCGCTACAAAATTTTAACGCATTTTACGGAAGGGTTTCCAAATCTTTTGTCTTACCTCTTCTCCCAAAAATGTTTAATGCTTCCCCCGCACTTAAACGTCCGTAAAAATTTGACCAAAGTCTTTTTATGTCATTGCATATCAAATCTTTTGAAAGTGAAACTAAACGGGAAAACAAAATTTCAGCGTTTGTGATTTCTTCATTTTGCTTTAAACTTTAATAGGAGATTTCAAAGCGGATGAGGGTGCCCTACCAAAACCCTACAATTTATAGGTTAACATTATTATAAAATGGGATTTTGCCTCTTGAAGAGCCTCTTGGTCATTTGATATAAAATAGTAGAGTGGTATAGATATTTCATATAAACAAAGTCACATTCACATGAAAGGTTATTTACATATTTGAAGCTCTAAACAAGTTTATTTTTAAAAAATTCGGTAAAAAATGTGTCCGTCCGTAAAAATTGTGGAGATTTAGAACATGTGTATTTACGTACAGACGTACATGATTTAGTAACATTTTATGTTACCGTGTTTGCATCCATCATGCCCTTCTCCTCCTCCCCCCCCCCCCCCCATTGACCTGTCAGAGCTTAGGTTTCTGTGATGTTAGCAAATTTTAAGCATTATATAGTTTTCAGTTATAGACTGATAGTACTGTCCAGTTAATAATATAGTATTATGGATTATAGAGGTTTTTAAATTGTTTTCTTTCTTTTAAAATTATTATTCCACCATTTCCAGTTCCATCTTTTAGTATATATTAAAAGCACAACTTCAACACGAAAGAAACGAAGAAAACAGTTAAAACATTGTGTGATTTTGATCTATTATAATTTATATCATATAATATTAATAATAAGAAAAATAAGGTCAGTAAGTTAAATTTAAAAACGGTATTAAATACATATCTTGTGGGTTACGAAAAATAACACTCAAAAAGAAAACCCAACCAGACCAACAATCAACTTTAAACTTATTTTTATGACTTATTACTTATTAAACTTATTAAAAAGTTATTATTATTATAATTATAGACTATATAATATATACTATAACTTATAACTATAACTTTATTGTAACTTTATATTTATATACTTTATAATTTATAAAATTTTTATCCGACGGTATCGTAACATAACTACCTTACTAACTTAAAATTTTATTATAAATTAAATTTTATTAAATTATACATTATTATTATTATAAATAGTATATAATAATATACATTATTAAAATTAAAGTATTATATTATATTATAGAATATAGGCTAAATCCGAGGACGGCTGCCACAGCGTTTTTTGTGTGTTTAGTGTTTAGTGTTTATTCAGTTGCAGTGAATTAGGGTTTAGGTTTAGGTTACTAAGACTAAGTTAGGTTGAGGGATCGATTTAATTTAAATTTAGGGTTCAGGTTAGGCATTGTATAGGGATAGATTTAGGGTTCAGGTTAGGCTTAGGGATCGATTTAGTGATACATTCGACTTCGTGATATTCGAAATGGGTCCCCATTGTTTACCTTATTATATTTTATATTATTATTAAGTATAATGTAGACTTAGTTTAGATTTTAGATTTTTATCATCAATTAATGGACATCAATTAGACTTAGTAGTAAATTAGTTAGTTCACTGAAACGTAAAATTAAGTTAGAAGTGTCTTCTCACAGTTAAAGACAGTTCAGTCAACTTAAGTTTTAGTTTTAAAAAATAAGTCCAGAGCCAGAACGTTATCAGAATAATCAGCAATTTTGTGACAAGATATATTTACTTTTACAAAGGGGTTCTCAAAAAAAAAAATTACAGTCATATGTGACATGCATAATAATCCAAAAGAATTCCTCACATAACAATAATTCAATAATATTTACACAAATGTTCTTAAATGATAAAAAATGTTCTCAAAAGCACAATTCCAAAAATATTACTTAATATTACTATTAGCACTTTATTGAAATTAATACCTATGTCTTACCTGACTCCTTAATTTTGAAAAAAATGGCTCCAACAAGCTAGACCCATAGAATATTAAAATACAGGGGAATTTTGGTTGGATTACGAAAACCCAGTGTTACGAACAAATTGTTTAACAAATGATATTTTTGTTATGAACATACACATACTTCTGTGCACACAATCCCACTGGCTCAGTAGCGCTTAGCCTGCTGACATGTTCAGTAAACAACATTTATCAGAGTGCTTTGTTCAAAGACACTTCTTTTTGTTTTTTTAACCCTCAGTATTGCATCTAAAGAGAGAAGTGTTATTAATTAATAGGAATAGTGTTAATGTAGAAATAAAGAAATAAAATATATTATAACATGATAGTGGCCTTCGTGTTTCCTGAATTGCCAAGCAATATATAATATGGTGACATTGAAAATTTGTACTATTCTAAAGAATAAAGAAGCAATAAAGGCGAGTGATTTGGCTAAAGTTGTGTCTGTGTTAACAAAGTACAAAGCAAAGGTCTAAAGTGCTAGAGAAACCTTTGTGTGCTTGTATAAATGGAACCAGCTGTAGATAGTTTTATCAAGACAATATTTTTGTGGAAAGGCTCGGCTGCTGCAAAGTGATTTGTTGAACAAAACCCAGAGTACAAGTATCCAAGCTGAAAACTTTAAATTTAGAGCAAGAAAAAGAGTCGTTAAATAAATTTCGCAGAAGAAGTGGAATATATAGTGTTGTAAGATATGGCGGAGCTGCAAATTAAGATAAAAAGATATATTTTTCATTATAGAACAACACTTTAAAATGTAAAAATGCTATATTGGTATTTCCAACGCTAGAATATGTTCATTGAATGTAAATTGATTTCAGTGGGAAAATTATTTTGTTAAGTAAATGTATTGGTTTAAGACTAGAGTCTCTGAACAGATAGAGGTCGTTATCCGAGGTTTCACTGTACATAGTAATGATAAGAGTGTTGGACTGCGATAAAGTTTTAAAATAGATTAATTAGACATGAACAATTTGTGTCAATAAAACAATATACGTTCAGCTTTAATAATAATTTTACATATTACACAAGTAAACGTTTCGGCTAATGCCTTCAGAAGTATAACAACAAAACATTAAATAAGTATAAATTAAATTTACATAATATAAATATACATGTGTATCCTACCTAAAAAATAGAAAAGAAAAGAATAGGAGTGGGCGCAAAACCCAGACAAAAACCAAGTAAAGAAGTTTAAGAAGAACAGAAAAGATGTGATTTGAAGTAAAATGTAAAAAACCAAACAGGAAAAAGACATGGCAGCTACGTAAAATTGTGGATTTGGTTTATACCGTATGGAGTCAACATACCAAAACTTGTTTATTAATTTATTTTCCATAAAAATCCTATCTGGTGTATTACTTGTATACAGTACACCAGTAACTGCAATGTCTAAAATTCCATCATGGTTAGTACTATTGAAATGAGATTTTTTTACCTTAGTTGGTACCAGTAAGTTAAAAGTGACTTTCACTTATTTTTTAGATCAGTTATAGAGATGATTTATAATTTTATTTTAGGCATAGGCTTGAATTGTTTAATGTTTAAGTTGAATTTGTCTTGGCATACTTAATACATTGCTCACAGAGGCTGCGACAAACCACAGACAGTACTCACGACTCAAGAATCTTGAGTAGTCCGAGATTTAAATATGTAGGCCCCCTTGTCTCATATAGATTTTTAAATTTGTTCATTGGACTTTTGGAAGACAAACCCTGGAATACTTGGGTGTACCGTCTTGACATTTTTTAATCTGTCTGGTCTTCTAAATTTATGCGTTTCTTGAGCAGTTGTTAACCACTTTAAGCTCACAGTGGGAGTTTAAAGTCAGAGATTTCCTTACTCAGATGTGCCGCCATGCAAAGTTAGAAGGGTTGAAGAAGCATCCAAATTTTAAACTTTCTATTCAGTAGTCTATTTTTGAGTACTTAAAGTTCATTGTCTTTGCTTTGTAAGTTTGTCATCTGATTAACAATTGAAAATGTCAAATACATGTTTTGTATTTTAAAATGCTTATTTGTTTGTGATTGTTTTCAAAAATATTCAGATCCAGCTCGATTTCTTGAGGCCTTCCGAATCCAATGACATGTCTCACCTCATTTATTTCACTTTTCTTACTTTTTTTATAAAATATCTAAGATTAAGTTACATTTGTTTTATATATATATTTCAGATTACTGGACAGTGAAAGAAATATGTTAAAACAGGAATGTTCTCATTGAAAAGCAGCATCTGGTCTAGAAACAAGATTCATTCATTCAGTTTCCACTAACCTGATGAATAATGATGACTGATCCGCCAGGCTCAAACTTGCATTGCAACAACTATAGTGCTTTGAGCATTAATGTAACTTTTTTCATGATCATCCTATATGCTGCCATAAAAATCAGTCATGGTGCAAATGTGAAGCCTCAGACTGAAAAGTATCAGCCGGATTATCGATATTATCACAACCTTACGCGAGCGATAGCTGATGCCACAGATTTGATAAAAAGGTACGGAAGTTTTCTTTTTAGAGATGATGAATATCAGTCAAGATCTGGCAAGTCCCAGGTTAACTTCAGAGTTTTTAATTCTTCACAGGAACCAAATAAACTGCGTTCAAGAATTTTATTAGCGTACGGTGAACATGCAAGGGAGTTTTTTCCAATAGAGAGCATGTTTTACTTTATGAGAAATTTGACAGCAGGTCTCGATACAGAACAGGAAGGCAGACCAGGTCGGTCTTTTTCTCAGTGGGTTTTGAACAACTTTGACATTTATGTCATCGGTCTGGCTAACCCTGATGGGAAAGACTTTATAGAAAAAAGTAAGAACTACTGTTGGCGAGGGACAGGAACTGGAGTCGACATCAATCGGAATTTTGATTGGAATTATGGTGGAAATGGAAGCTCAAAGGATCCTCAAGATGATGAATACAGAGGGCCTTATGCATTTTCAGGTACCCGGTATTTAAATCACCAAAATTTTAACTTGAAATATGTTTTGCTCATTTGAAAGAATGTTTTTTTTTATTCTTAAAAGATGTAATTTTTGAGCCACCATTTTAATTTATCATAGTGACCAGATTAAAATGAAGTTTGAAATAACTATATTTTTCCAACAGTCTTTCTTAACTACATTTTAAAAGTTAAATTCAATTCTCATATTCTGTGACCGCTGAGTAGCAATGCTTCATACATATTTAATAAATGATCCACAGAGCCAGAGACTAATGTATTCCAATACCTGGCCGAAACTGTGAAATTTGATGCTTTTGTCTCTTTTCACTCAGGAGTCCGTCACATATACATTCCTTATGCAGGTATTGTTATATAAATGTTAAAATGTTTTGAATAATTATAAGTTTAAGTGATCAAGCTCCGCTTCAAGTCTGGGTGGTTTTAGGATGGCAGGGAAGGATGAGGATGTTAGGGGAAATTTTAGAGATATATGGTGGAGATGTTAGAATAGAGGGTAATGATCGCATTGTATGGTTGAGAATGAATGGGGTTAGGGGTCCTGATTACATGTTGCCGTTAAAGGATATGAGGCATGAGGTGGGTAGTGGCAACCTCATGCCAATGATTCTATGTACACAGTATTTGAGGTAGGTGTTCCTAGGCAACCATTTCATCCCAGCTGCTTCGTAAATTAGTTGTGAGGTAGAAACTGGCTGTAGAAATCCCCATTAGACGGTGTCTGGCCCCCTTCCCAGGATGGGCGGGGGAAGATTTTAGGGCGTAAATACATCATCCAGACTCCTCGGAAAGTTGACTTCTGACGCTTTGAGAGCGTCACCAGCTTACCAGATGTCCTTGGGCTTGGGTGGCATCCGTTGGTACTCGATCGAGTAGGTGCTGGCGAAGGCTGCCCTGGCAAAGGGAGATCTCCAACATGTCGTCAAACTTACTTCGTCAAATGTCATTTGTGGTAGTTTATTTTGGTTAAACTGAAGAAGTAAGTTTACAAACATAAAGTTCATTCAATTATCTTTCATTTGATACCTTATTTTGTCTTACAAACCCTACAATAATATTTTAAATAGTTTTTTTAATCCCCAACTCTCACTTCTGGTACCTGGGTACGAACAGTCGCAGCCTTTGAGGTTTGTGTGTGAAAAGTTTGGGGAGAGGCTAGAGCTTGAGGAAGTTGGGTATGTCACAGTTTAAAGAATTTGATCCAGGGACACAACTTAATCCACATCTGTTATTCCATTATATTCCAGTTACTACCCTTTAAAATGTTACACCCCTAAGAAATAGTTTTAAACTTTTTTTTCATCACCCAAGTATATTTATAGTATAGGGCAGCCCTTAATTTAAGAAAAATAACAGCAAAGGCCAGTCCCCCAAAATGGAGCTTAGGGCCAGCTGCGGTGAAACATGCTCATGCTCCAAGCTCCAGCAGCGAAACAATATCCTTTTTATATCAAACAATTTTAAATTCAGGAAAATTTTTACATTGAAGGGTGTAAATAAGATCTCTAATGTATATTTCCTGTACAGGTATCAAATTTTACCTACATTTTATTTGTCAAAACTCTATTGTTCTTGAAGGATTTTGGTATAAGCCTAAACATATCTTTTTAATTTTTCTGCTGCAACTTATTTCAGATTCAAAATCGAAACAGTTGCACAGAATCCCTGAAAACCAACATCACATGGTCAATCTGGCCAAACGAATGGTTAATGCATCACCATCACGCCAATTTGAAATGGGAATGGCATATGAGCTAAACGGCTACGTGGCTGATGGGACATCTTTTGATTATATGGCCGGAGTGGCAAAGGTGGCCTTTACTTGTCTCATATTCTAAAAGGCTATTTTACAACTTGTAATTGTTAGAATAACATAAACTAAAGTAAACCAATATCAATTTTTAATTGCTGTCTGATTTCTATTTTCTAAAAGATTTATAGTCTTAAAATACCGTATTTTACTGACTATAAGATGCAGTTTTTTCTTCGAAAAATTGCCTAAAAAATTCAGGTGCGTCTTATACTCGAAATTAATATAAAAATGATAAAAATGTTTTTGTTTTTTTTTAAAATTAAGGTGCGTCTTATAGTCCATAGCATCTTATAGTCTGTAAAATAGGGTACCAGGATTTTTATACTGAATATCAGAAAATTTATTGCAACAGTGTTACCAACACACCCCAGTATCTGAATTGATTGCTGAGAAATTCTGACTTGTATAACTTTTTTCACCCATCAACAATTTTCATTTTCAGGTTCCTTTTTCTTTTGCTATAGAAATGTGGGGGGCAAAAGACCATGTAGGAAGCAGTTGTTTCGATGAGTTCAATCCACCAAGTGAAGAGCTAGAGGTAAAGCTTTGTTGTGAACAAACTTGCTAATATAGGAAATAGGAAAATAGAAGGGAAAAAGATTGATATTTTGTTTCATTTGGTTTAGCTGGTGAAGTCTTTCCAATCCCTGGGAACATGGATGCCCAACCAATAATATGGTATCGTAAGCCCCATCAGAAATGATATTTTAGGGCAAAATTTGAATTCTTGAAATTTCTGTTAGTTGAGAAAAGTTTAGGTTCGCCAGGGTTTGAAATATTCCAAGCATTGTGTTTAGTAGCACCTGCCAGCAGTCTCTTATGCTTCCTTTAGTGCAAGAAATCTTAATATAACCTGCAACTGGTGTTTTATGTTAGAGATCACAGAGGTTTTTGATGGCTCTACATTCTTCAGTCAAAATGTTCTGTTATGGATGCAAATGCATGTGTCACTTCTTTACTGTGAAGTGAATCCCTAGTCTGTGATGAGAACCACTTTTTAACATATGGTATCACTTAATATTACATCATTAATTGGCTCATTATTCACACTTTTATGGACTGTCAGAATTTAAGGACAACTATTGCAGAGTGTGTGCTTAAATGTATGCACACATTCAACAGAGACCCTCCTCCCCTTATTCCTGATGAGCAAAATATCCTAGGTCACCCCATCCCTGCCCCACCTGTAAGTGCGTACCTAACATATGGATGTCCCCTTAGGTGTCCCCTTAGAGGACATCTTGCGACAATTATAAAAATTCAGTATTTAAGGATGTCAGGTCCTTTACAAATTTACTATAGATCATGAATAGTAATAGTGGTATTAGGTCTGCCTTTTCTATGTGTTAGTCTCCATATGATAAATGAATGCCTCTAGGTTTGCACATCAATGAATTTTATAATCGCATATTTTCCAGGAAGAATTGGCTCTGGTCCATCCATTGTATGTAGAACTTCTTTTGTACCTTTTTCAATGGAAGAGTGAACAGAATAAAGTAGAAGTTTCAGTGAGTGGATTTTATTGTAATTATCGAAAAGGTTTTATCAACTACTAATTGAAAACTAACAATCACTTTTTTCTTTCTTTTATAAAGAAAAAATTGCTGGATATTTAAAAAAATAATTAAAGATCAAAATATTTAAGGTCAAATAGCATTACCAAATGAATCTTATTTTTTTATTTTTTTTTTTAAATTTATAGTAAAAATTGTTTTAGTTTTTAACTCCTCTCAAGAGGTCACACAATTTGTTACAGTGTTGTCTTGAAACCGAGCCCTGCCCATTTGTATGAATAACATATTATAACACTAACTGGTTATCTTATATTAAAAGCATATAAGTAAGTTCAAGGTAATCAAGGTTACGCAGTAGTTAGAGTGACATTATGCCTAAGTTAATTAAGTTGGTCTGGTTTAGCCTTTTCTGCGTTTAGTGCACTTTTTAGATAATTGTTATTGAAATAATTGAATGTTGATTTTACGTAGCTTGATGTTAATCTCGAGGTTTAGAATAGTATGTCATTATTATTATTCATGTTCAATGAAGGCTAGCTAGTAGCCTTGTAAGCAACTAAGGCTCCCTGTTCAGTCTGAATGGGCATATACAGCGAGTGTCGAATGAATGTGCACCGAAACTGAGGAAAAAATGGCATTTTTTTGAGTTGCAGCACCAGGCCCAATCACTGATTACATTTTTGCATAAATATAGTAAATGAAAATCATTAATTAAACACGTGTCATCAATACATTTTAACTTCGTTTACATGCTTTTGTCATTAGGAAAACAGAAATGCAGAATTTATATTACACAGAACTAAAAAAGACTACGAAACAGATAATAAACAGGAGGAGGAAATGCTGGAATCCACACCTCAAGTAATAACATTTTTCTTCTTTTATTCGTTAGTGAAAAAAAAATAAACATGCTAAAACCTAATGCTTAAAGTTTGTCTTTAAACTTTTATGAAGGATATAAATAAAATATAGGGTAAGGTAGGGCATTAAGCACCACCTTTTTTTGTTTTCTGTGAATTTTTCTTTAAACTTTTATGAAGGATATAAATAAAATATAGGCCTATGTATTTAAATCGCACTAAAATGTTTATTAGGTATTATCACACTTTACCGTTATTAGTTACTCCAAACTGACTAACCACAATAATGGTATAGTTAATTATTACCAAGTCAATGCTTCAAGTTATTACATGAAATGCAAAATATGAAACGGCATGTGACCTTCAGCCCTGTTTTAAGAGGAGCATGGAATAATTAATAAATGATATGAAGAACACTCATTTAGCCCGCTGAATTCCTAACAACAGAAATTTCATTTTTTTTCCCACACAGCACCCAACATCCTTCTCAGAAAGCCATTTAATGTATGCCTTGTTTTCGATGGTGGCTGCCTTATGTGTTGTATTGGGAGCAAGACATGTGTGTTTTTTAATGCGTAAAAAACGTATTGTAAGTCTTAAATCTCTTAGCTCAACATTTTCTCTGTTTAAAAGCTAATAAAAGCAGTTATTATTATTTGTTTTGTTTTTTTATTGTAAAAATAAAATTATGTTTTCCCCCTTAAAAAGTTATTAGCACTGTAGGAAGTGAATCTTTCAATTGTAATTTTTTTTTAAACTTCTGCATTATTAATAGGCTTTAGATGATGTTTTTATTTCATTAAAAATACCATCCATAACTACTATTGCTGCATTAATACCATGTTACCAGTACATATATTTTGAGTGTCATATTTTCTTATTAATGTAAAATGGCATTATGCTGATTCTTTGTAATGAGTTTAAGTGTCATTGGGTTGGAGCTGTAATAACTTCTGAACATTTATAACTGAAGTATGTGTGTAGAATTTATATAAGATTCATTGTGAAGTTCCAGTACTAGCATGCATTGTTCTATTTTGACCATTTTAATTACTTGAGTCCACCCACCACTTTGATATAAATATCTCTATCTCAGGTTTAAGAGAATCGTGTCACAAAAAACATACTAGTGATGCTATAGGTTAGAATTATATTATTTTGTTTGTCATTTTCCATAACAGTAATAACAATAAAGTATTTCTCAAGAAGCAATGAGTTTATAAATCTCATTTTTAAGTTAGCATATAAATACCTATCTCTTTTTTATTGATAATGCAAATTAATTTTTTTATTTTTATGTAACTATGCTTACTATTTAGGCATCTAAGTCTCTTAATCACCCTCAGTATTTTTTAAAAGGTGATCAGAATCTTTCAGTTAAATCTATATGATATTGCATGTGATATACATTTTATTTCTTTCTTTTCAAAATGTTAATTTGTGAATAGGACACTCTTTTAATTCTTTTAATTTATAAACGTGGTTTGATCACTTTCCCAATTTTTTCTATTTAATCTTTTTTTTAAATAAACAACTCAGTGAGACGTTTTTTAATATTGAATATTTTAAACACTGTTTTCTAATAACCATTTAGATCAGTTGTCCCCGAACTTTTTTGTCTCGTAGACCAGTGTTCCACAAACGGTGCTCCGTGGACCGGCACCTGTCCACAAGCCTTACGTTACCGGTCCAGAGAGCATGAATATTGATGTTTAAATAGAAAGAAAATGTAATGAGTAAATGTGGCACTGGTTGCAGTTTCAAAAATTGTCTACCGGTCCGTGAAACTTAAAAGTTTGGGAAACTCTGTCGTAGACTATTTGCCATGTTTTTCGGTTCTGGGTAGACCCCCCTGCTTACCTGATATTGATTTTTTGCACACAAAAAAAGATGCTTTTATCATTTATGCAGGAAGATATATGTCTTTATATTATAAGGTAATAGGATGTAAGTAAATAGGTACTATCTGTGTATGTGGATTATTCCATTCATGGAATGCCAAAATTGAAGCCACTACCTGCTTACAAGAGATCCACTATCATTGACCCCCATTTTCATTTCATGGATCCCCAATTTATTTTTTTCACTGACATGGAACCCTTGCGAATTGTCGTGGACCCCAAGGGGTTGATATAGACCACTTTGGGAATTTCTGGTTTAGATAAATTATAAAATCTTACGTTATATTTAAAAAAAAAAAACTATGATATTAACATCCCTTTTTTGTAATAAAATGAATAGTTCAGTAATTATTATACACATTTTATCTTGTACTCCTGAGCTTCCATTTTGATGATCTCTTAGTTTACGTTTACAAAATGTTCAAATGTACGATTGGTTCACATACATTTCTATGTAACACATGTAATTTGTTATGGTAACATATTTTTGTTTGTGCTATGGACAAGTGAATGTACGAAAAACAGACGATAGCTGAAACACATGTTATTTGGTATACTATTACTACATCCAATTAGAGAATTATGATAAAAAATTATATTAATATTTTTTAAAGGAATTAATTTTAAGCTCTACACAAACCATTATGTCTGCATGTGTGCCTGTTGGGTGAATATAAAGACAGTTATTAACTCATTACCATTCAAAGTCGGTTGCTCTGTGCCGATGTCAGTGTTCAATGTTTATTTTTACACAAGATTCAGTTACTCCCCAAGACTAACATAGCAATATCCAACTTGGCTATAAGTATAACCTTGACTTGAGCCATATTTTGTTTAAAGTGAGGGAGAGGTTGCTCAATTTGTCAGCCTCACTCTCTCATCCTCACCTACTTGATCCAATGGCAAGACTTGGTCAAGATGACTGGAAATAGACCAGGATGCAGTAGATGACCAGCAGTGTTTTTTGTGTGTTTCACTGTGCTCCTTATGGGATCCTTGTCGCAGTAGTTTAAAGAATTTTTATTTTGTCAATTTCATACCGCCTACAGGACTCGATTTCAGGGTTTGATTTCAGAGTTTCCCTTCTCTTAGATGATTTTCCATCCAAGATTAACAAGTCCCATCCACATGGGGTGCCGCTGTTGTTTTCACTTCTCTATGCTTTTTGCTGGGGATTGAACTCCAGGGTGCTGGTTGTGGCAAACTCATCGTGTCAATTTTTAACCAGATCATACAGAACCGCCTTATTTAATATCATTTGTAGATTAAGCCCTAACGCAACAAAAGACATAAGAAGGATCTTAGAATGTAAATTTACAGTTACAGCGTTAAAAAAATGCTTATTATTGAAACATTAATGTTAAACCTTAGTTTTCCTGGTAATTAAAGATTCAAACACTTCATCAAAATCAAAATTCCAATCATAAAATTTGCTGATGATACCACCATCGGTGGCTTAAAATTTTAGGAAGAAGGCTTATACCGCAACTTAGATACAAGCTTTATCAATTGGTGCGATGAAAATTTTCTCAAGCTGAATGTCTCAAAAACAAAGGAAATTGTTGTTCATTTCCGGAGGGGGAAACACCAGATTACAGATCTCAATATAAAAAATCAAAGTGTAGAGAAAGTAGAGGCATATAAGTACTTAGGTATCACCATTAATAATAAGCTAACATGCCATGAGCACGGCCAAATGCTGTATAAAAAATTCAACCAAAGACTATTCTACCTTAAAAAACTGTACAATTTTTACGTAAACAAATAAGTCGTTAACTTATTCTACAGTGCAACAATAACTTATTCTACAGTGCAAAAATTGGAAGCCTATTTAATTTCAGTATTACCTGCTGGTGTGGGAATTCATCGTCTGATATTAAACACCAAATAAACAGACTAATCAAACACAAACTAAACATCCTTCACTTGAAGAACTATTTGAAGAAAGTTGTCATGTAAAACCAAACAAATTTTGGATGATGCATCCCACCCTCTTCATCCCAGATTCTTAGGATTGCCCCGTGATGAATTCTTTCTCTCAGGGCAAGGACAAATATTGACCAAATATTGGCTTTGTCAAGATTAATTATCAGCTGCTCTTAGGTGCCTTGCAACATTGGTACTGGTATTTCAATGAACAGTTCATGTTCAAATAACTCATTGTTGAAAGTGGTCAGTTTTGGAAATGACAGCAGTAATTCTTTTCTAGTCGTCTTTAGTAGACTTCTAGCTAGAACAGCTTCAGACCTATCCGCTATTTCCTTGATGAAACTCGATCTGATCTGGAGCTCAGAATGAAAACGATCAAAATGCTGTTGAGCGCTGTCTTGCTTCCTTTTTGCAAAGTGAGTCCAGCGTCTCTTGACTGCTGCCCTGCGATTTTCTTTATCCCTGCCACACTTCCTCATGAACCTCCTCCAAGTCAGCCTTCTGTAATGACACACTTCCTTGGAGGCACACTGATCAGTTTTCACCCTGTTCTATTGATGCCACTGGGGTCACCCAAATTGCATGAACTTTTTTGTATTTAATAAAGTTGAAAAATGTTAATTTATCCCACAATAGACTAGGAGTAAAATAATTATTTACATGTACCCAGTACACGGTAGATGTTAACTCTGATAAATTATACTTATAGAGGTGGTCAATTTATTTTTTTCACTCTATTAAATTTATATGAATTGTAAATTAACATTTGTGTATTGTACCATGAGAAAAGCTGGTGGTGAAATATACACTGAATTTACTTGTAAGTGAATAAGAATCTTTCGTACTTGTATTATAATTCAACTTAGACTTTGGTAAATTTCTGCATGAAATGAATGGACTTAATATTTGTATGGGAAAGCTATATATGTGCTATACCGGTATATTCCCAATTTTCTGTGATACTTCTTTGATTAATATTATTTTCGTAATTTTTTTCACATTAAAGATATATACGTTTTCTGACAAATGAGTTGAATTTTTTCTCCATGTACCAAAACTGGCAGCTGTTAAATCTGTTAATGAAACACACTGATGTTTCAGATGTTGCAGTTATGACATTGTTGGAATAAATGTGAACCACTGATATTTTTATTTGTTTGGGGAATAAAGAGTTCTACTTCTAATGACCATTCTTTTTTAAACCAAATTGTAAAAATTGATATTGCACATCTGGTATCTATAAGACGTATGCTACCCTTCAAGCTTGCAGTTTTATAGACACACTTTATTGAAACATAATCCTATGTCAGTGGTTCAATTTTTGTGATTTATTCAAGTTGCATGCTTTTTTTTTTTTTTTGACGCTCTTTCTCCAAGTCTAAGAAGGAAAAAGAAATGCAAATACCCAAGGTTTATGTGTGTTTCCCTTGGGCCCCACAAAACTATTAAATTATGGGACGAAAACATACTTTTAAATGACAGATATAAAAGAATTTTTTTTATTTTTTTTATTTTTTTAAGTTGCATGCTTTTTTTTTTTTTTGACGCTCTTTCTCCAAGTCTAAGAAGGAAAAAGAAATGCAAATACCCAAGGTTTATGTGTGTTTCCCTTGGGCCCCACATAACTATTAAATTATGGGGCGAAAACATACTTTTAAATGACAGATATAAAAGATGCTCTATACTCTACATGTACTTATCTTTCCTAAACTCAAAAATAATGCTATTGACATCAGTGCTAATGTACTATAGGTATATTTATACTACTGGTATCTAACTGGAAATGATAATGCCTTTTTTTGAAAAT